GATAAATTATTTCTCTTTTCCAACCAGCAGCTGAACGCTGGTTACTGTGTCCCGTTGCGGCACAGAAGAGACCAGGGACTTATCCCCGTTTTTTGAAGAACCTACAGGGACACCTATAGTTCAGACCAGAGAATGCAGCCACATGGAAGAGACCCTCTGCCACTGCAGCGAAAGGGGAACGGGGCTCTGGAAGCCAAAGCCCTGTGTTCTTTTACCTTCTTCATCTGAAACTTGATGGTGGATTTGACCTCATCAACCTTGGCCACCAGGTTCTCGTTGTGCGTGAGGAGAGAAGGGAACTTCCCCGCCTTGTTCAGACCCGGGCCCAGGATGCGAGGGATCTGCTTGATGAGGGACTCCGAGGCCAGGAAGGCGTCGTACTTCTTGGCTGCAAGGGGACAGCGAATGCGGCTCAGGGAGCGCTCAGGCCCTGCACCGAGCTGCAGCTCTCGGCTCAAACCAAACTCTGCTGCTCTCCCCCACGCACCTTAACACATCTTGGAACTCACTGTCACACCAGGCACCTCTGCCGGCCGTCCCACGCGCTTACTGCACGCCCTTTATTGCTCTTTAATGTTTCCTGAATCCCAAGCACTTACTGAAAGTCCTTGATTTCTCTTTAATATTTGCTGAGCTACAGTTAAAGCTCAATCCTTACATCTACCAGGAGCCTTTTGGCCTATTCTGTGCATGTGCACACAGGCAACCCCGTTATATTGACGTACTTCATCTCTTACAACTCCATAATTAATCCCAATTCAGTGGGAAGCTCTCGTTGTCTGCAAGAGGCTGAATTTGCAGGACAGATATGACTTTTTTTTTCTGTTACCAAGGGCAAATAAGCAAATTCCATTTGGTTTAAGTTCTGCACGACTGAGTCACAATGAATTTTTGCTTCTACTTCTACCTGGCTTTTACTGCACTCTCTCTCTCTGGGCAGGATTAATAGAGTATCCCACAGGTGAAACTTCGGGGGAAAAGGAGAAATTTTCCTTTATCCCTCCTTCCTGGAAAGGGCAATCAGGATTTCCTGACTCCCTTTAGTGTTGAGCTGACAGCTCTGTCAGAGGCTGTTCTCTGAGCACTTTCTATGCAGATTCTGATAAACTTAAGACCAAATTTTGGATGGTTTTTTCTTGCAGTTAACCATAATGTGGAAACTTGAATATGGGAAACAACTGTGCTGAATACTCAGTCCTTTTTCTCAAGTCACCAGCGTTCATACTCCAGGAACCCATGTCACTCACCCAGCTTCTTCACTAGCTTCTTGTTCTTGTTGAGCTTCTTCAGAGCCTCTATGTCCATGTGAGGAATGTCAACCGCTTTGGCCTCATCGCAGTGCTGCTGGTCGCCCAGCAGGCACACCGAGAACTTGGGCCGCGGAGTCGACTTCAGCC